CAAGAGGGAGAAGTTATGGATCACTGTTTTTAACTACGCTTCCTTTTCTTGGTGTAAACAGCAACGCTTTTTTAAAGAACCGACCACAACTTTGGATCGCGTAGTGCAAAGGAAAAAGAGACCTGGTTCATGTATTGCAGCTACCAAGCATATGTATACAGTGGTACCTCGGGTTACATACGCTTCAGGTTACAGACTCTGCTAACCCAGAAATAGTACCTCGGTTTAAGAACTTTGCTTCAGGATGAGAACAGAAATGGTGCGGTGGCGCCAAAGTGAGCGTTTTATTGGAAGGCTCCCATTGTCTTCATTTTTCCAAAGCTCCCCCCCCCCGAGTCCCATTTATTTGTTTACCCACCCGCCCATTTTAATTTATTTATTTACTCGGCCGGGAGTGGGGTGGGGGTAGCGATGAGAGCACCCTCTCTGCGGACCTTTCGCCTAATTGTGGCACTTTTTAATATATAATGGGGAGTAAATGAAGGCAGGCCGCCGGAGAAAGCCCGGTTAAAGCTGCCATTTAAATCCTCCTGTGTAAGTTTTGATATCCAGAGTGAAAGTACAAATGCCGTATAAGTCAATTAAAGCATTAGGTAATCTAATTGTACTGCGGCCACAAAGTGGCTTAGAGGCTGAATGGCAATGCTAAACCACAACCCACACTTCAGCATTCTGCCCCCCTCACCCCTCCCAGGGCCCTTTGTGAATGAGCAGAGAAAGGGGGGACCCTGGAGAAGGAGGGGGGCTGGGGTAGTGGATCTGGTGAGCGAATGCACACACACAAATACAACCCACACACGCCAACAATGCTAAGGAAGGGATCTGGAAATGAAAAAAGTAGAAAATTTCCCAGAGAGTGGGATATATGCAGAGTTTATGTAAAAGAACATTGTCAAGAGATCAGTCCGTTGGCAGGTTTTGGTTGCGCTTCGGTGTGCAAATAGGATAATTATATAAAACAAAATTCCTAGTAAGTCAAATGATATGGAGAAAGTAAATTTTAAGTGCGTGTTCAAGGATTTTAAATCGGGAAAGGCAAGGGGAAGATCGGAGCTCTTGACAAATTTAATCACAAAGCGTGTACAAAGCAAGCATTGGTTAACGAATGAATAACTGTCCATTTTTTATTTCTCATGTTGCCTATAATATCTGTTATAAAGTTTTCAATCCATAACGCATTCAAAACACACATACACACAGGAAATGAAAAACTAAGATTGCAAGGTCTCTCTTTTTTTGCAAGGATCCTGCCAATCTCTATAATGCGATACGTGCTTCTGCTTCTTCGTTCTGTTTATCCTCCCCTCCTCCTCCTCCTCCGCTTCTCTCGCGCTCCCTTTCTCTGGAGCCTCCGGCCCCACAGCAAGACTCCTGAAATGTCTCTCCTCATTAGATCAGGAGGGCCAGAGGAAGCCACAGGGCAGGGGCAAAAACACCCCAGCACAATTAAAGTTACTTAGGTCGGGGGAAACTGGTGATGCATTCCTCCAGCTCTGCCCTTGATTGCTTCATTGTGTGCATTCCGGCCCGCCTGCTTGCTATGAAGCAGCTGAGACCAGGAGGAAGGAGGAGGAGGAGGAGGTGGAGGAAGGGGGCTTTGAGTGCCCCTGCAAGCGTTTCAAGCCGGCATGGCTGCCTTCTGTGTCTAAAGCAGGCAGTGGCGTAGTGTGGGTTGTCAGCACCCGGGGCAAGGCAAGTAATTTGCGCCCCCTAACCCGTGGATTTGCGCCCCTAACCCGTGGATTTGCCCTAACCCCACATGTTGCGCCCGGTGCGGCCGGCCCCCCTGCACCCCCCACGCTACGCCACTGAAAGCAGGCCCCCACTTTGTGTAGGAACATGGTGGCCTGATCGAGTAACTCAGGTTAACAATAATACTAATACTAATAATAATAATACAGTGGTACCTTGGGTTACATACGCTTCAGGTTACATGCGCTTCAGGTTACAGACTCCGCTAACCCAGAAATAGTACCTCGGGTTAAGAACTTTGCTTCAGGATGAGAACAGAAATTGTGTGGTGATGGCAACAGGAGGCCCCATTAGCTAAAGTGGTGCTTCAGGTTAAGAACAGTTTCAGGTTAAGAACGGACCTCCGGAACGAATTAAGTTCTTAACCCGAGGTACCACTGTAATAATAATAATAATTTTCAAGTTTTTAATTTGTGCCAGGCATATATCTTTCAGGAAGCGGAAAACTACCCTAGCATAACGCCGTACACTAGTGGTTCTCAAAGGATGACAATTGTGGCAGGAAGATTCAAGGACAATCAATGTTATATTTTGGGAAGACTTTGTGTTCTTATGTAGCTGCATTGCTTTATATTTCCCGGATATCCCGCAATTATATTATAGTGGTACCTCGGGTTAAGCACTTAATTCGTTCTGGAGGTCCGTTCTTAACCTGAAACTGTTCTTAATCTGAAGCACCACTTTAGCTAATGGGGCCTCCTGCTCGCTGCCACACCACCAGAGCACGATTTCTGTTCTTAACCCGAGGTACTATTTCTGGGTTAGTGGAGTCTGTAACCTGAAGCGTATGTAACCTGAAGCGTATGTAACCTGAGGGTACCACTGTATATCTTTCAGGAAGCGGAAAAATACCCGATCATAATGCCGTACACCAGTGGTTCTCAAAGGATGACAATTATAGCGGGAAGATTCAAGGACAATCAATATTATAATTTGGGAAGAATTCATTTTCTTATGTAGCTGCGTTGCTGGATATCCCACAATTATATTATAATGTAGCTGGGTTATGTGTTACAAATCAAGCACTGCTAGGAGTTGTATCTCTCTCCTCCTCCCGCCACAAAATGTATTTCTTATCAATTAAAAAACAACCAACAGTGTTGCACAAGCAAATTTTTATTCTGAAAGTGTGGCTCCGAGGGAAAACAATGGTGCCTGCATGTGTGCAAATAGTAAAAAAAATTCCCAAAAAATAATAATAACCACCCTCTTTGATAGTGATAGATTTTAAGAATAGCAGAAACAATCCTGAAGAAATTGGTCCAGTTGCCAAGACAGGCAGTTCCCTGGGGAGTTTGATCCGGGGAGCTGCAATGAGAAGGCTGGTAATGAGGGTGTCAGGAGCTTCCCTTGAAAGACAGCTTGGTTGTTACTGCTGATTTCCCCCTGTAGCCAGTAGCTGCAGGGAGGAGATCTGGTGTCGGCACACTGTTGGGAGCAATCCTAAATCTTTACCCCTTCCTTTCAGCCTTTCCCCCTCCCAACACTTCTGCGTTAGGCAGCTGGGTCTGGGGCCGCCATTTTAACTCCCCACAATTCCCCCTAGTGGGACATTGTTCCGGAGCACCCTGGGAAATTAAAACGATGTCCGCCTCCCAGTAGAGATCTGGCAGCTGCCATTTTGATTCCCCACAATTCCCCGCCAGTGTCGCATCATTTATTTATACTTTTCAAGTTTATACATTTCCTTAGTTTTACAGTCAATTTAACATTTCAAAGTTTGACTTCCTTCCCCCTCTTTCTGCGGTTCCTTAATTTTCTGCATTTCCAAATTCACTTAATTTGCTCATTTAATTATCTACTTTAAATATATACTCTTATGAAACTGCAGGTTATTACCATAACCCTGCCAATGTTTTTATCTGTAAATATTCAGTAAACCATTTCCATTCTTTTATAAAAAGAATTTCTTATTCTTCCGGTAAGTTTCGCCATTTCTGCATATTCCGTAAGTTTTTGTATCCATTCTTCCTTTGCTGGGACTTCTGCTTCTTTCCATTTTGGGGGCAAGTAGCATTCTTGCTGCTGTAGTAGCATACATAAATAAATTCCTATACAATTTAGGTAGTTCTGATCCTATTATTCCCAAAAGACAAAATCTTTTTATATATATTAGTTTTTATTAGTTTTACATATAATCACATTACACAGTAATATATCTTCTTCTTATAACTCTTTGCGCTCAACTGAGCCTATCAACTTCCTTCCCTCCCGCCTAATAAAATTAAATTTTGCATCTTTACCTTTCACTTTATTTCCTATCCTTGTTACCTAAAATATTAAATTACTCAACCTGAATAGGTAGCAATTTCATCTTACACATCTTCAACTACCGTATTTTTCCGTCTATAAGACGCCCCCATGTGCAAGATGCCCCCTATTTTGGGGGACTCCAGTTTAAGAAAATGGGGGGAAGATGGCCTCCGTGCATAAGACGCCCCCACATTTTTGACATTATTTTTAATGGAAAAAAACCTAGTCTTACACATGGAAAAATACGGTAAACCTGCTAGTGATGTTAATTGCTTACAGTTGTCTTTCAAATGTAATATAGATTTATTCCAGTCTTTTTGGAATGCTTGGTCTCGCTGCTTCCGGATTCTTCCCGTCAGTTTTGCCAGTTCTGCAAAGTCCATCATTTTCATCTGTCACTCATTGGTAACTCCTGTTGTTTCCATTTTGGGGCTAACAAAATTCTTGCTGCAGTTGTTGCATATAAGATAATTTTTTTATCTTGTCTATACCCAATACAAAAGGCTTCTGGTTTTTAAACAAAAGTGTTTTTAAACATTTTCTTTAACTCATTACTGTATTTTTCGCTTTATAAGACACACTTTTTCCCTCCTAAAAAGTAAGGGGAAATGTGTGTGCGTCTTATGGAGCGCATGCAGGCTTCGCGTGGCGAAGCCAGAACAGCGAGAGGAATCGCTGCACAGCGCTCCCTCTCCTCTCGCTGTTCTAGCTTCTGGCTTCGCTGTGCGAAACCTCTTCAGAGCAGGGGGAGCCTTCAGCCCGCTGCCCTGAAGAGGCTTCGCGCAGCTAAGTCAGAACAGCGAGAGGGATCACTGCGCAGCAATCCCTCTTGCTGTTCTGGCTTCTGGGATTCAGAATATTTTTTTTCTTGTTTTCCTCCTCCCAAAAACTAGGTGCGTCTTATGGTCTGGTGCATCTTATAGAGCAAAAAATACGGTATATATCGCCCCAAAGACAAAAACTAATCCTGGTTTTCTTTGCTGCTTTTTCCCTAGCTCTTTTGTCAAACATGCACTGGACACCCGAGCATGCTCAGCCCCTGAACCAGTGGCCGGAGCAGCACCTTGATGTCTCCTCCACAACCTCATCGCCTGCCCACAAGTCTGACCTCTACCACAGCAGCCGGCAGCGCTTCAACTACGCCTGGGCCAACGATGACATCTCTGCCCTGACCGCCTCCAACCTGCTGAAGAGGTATGCTGAGAAGTACTCCGGAGTACTGGACTCCCCTTATGACAGGCCGCCGGGGCTCAACACCTACGGGGATGGCGCCTTTGGGCCCCTCAACGGCCAGAAGGGAGAGATGGAGCCTTGGCCGATGGCGCACAGCTCAGAGGGGGCTTACCCTTTGACCCCGATGCACGATGGATTGCCCACCTCCAAGGGGATCATCCCTCCTGCCGTCACCCCAGGGAACAGCCTCGGGACCTCCCCGGTGGTCTCCAGCAATCTGTCGGACTCCATTTACCCCAGTAACACATGCGGGGGACCCCCGACTTCTGGCAGTCTTGGTCCATCTCAGGAGTACCCTTCAGGCTACAGTGGGGCCTACCTGCCATCGGGCTACTGCAGCCAACCTGCCTCGGCGCTTCCGCCTCCACACCCGTCCACCTTGCATAGCTCAGGCCTCCTTCAACCCAGCCACCCTTCCACGGCGCTCGTCCCCAGCTACAGCTCCTCAGGACCCATGTACAATTACACCTCAGGCAGCTACCCACCCCAGCCTGGCTATGGCACCATTCACCCTCCCCACCCGTCAGCCTCGTATTTGCCCTCGGGCATTGCTGCCCCCACCCCCATCCCTCCCTCCTCTCGGCCCCCTGTCGTCCCTGGGTACAGCTACCAGAGCCCCCTCGCTGTGCCACCCCTCAGCGGTGAGTCGGGGAGCTCTCTGAAAAGGAAGGCCTTTGATCTCGCCGGCGGTGAGGACGACGGCGAAGGCCGGTATCGCAAATACAGCTATGAGCAACCAAAGTCTCCGTATCAGATGTCCGACAGCGGTGAATGTAGAGGAAATGGGTTCAGCCGCAGCTCTGAGGTGCCTTTCAAAGGGGGGAAGAGGCCCGCAGGCGTGGCGGCCACCACCGTGGCCTCCGAGGAGCCCGTGGGAAAATACAACAGCCAGCCCATGAAAGGCCTGGTGTCTACGGCTTACAGCGTGGGTGAAGCCCCGCTGAGGCCTAGCGAGACCTTTGAGAAGTTCACCCCTCCGGCTGCCAATGGGGAACATGGAGGAGAGTCCTTTGCCCTCAGGATGCAGCCCAAGCCGCCACCCTTCAGCAGCGACAACAGCAGCCAGACTGTGGAAGAACAGCTGAAAGCCATGGACCCGTTTGTTCTGGAGCTTGTGAACAACAAGATCATTGATTGCGGTCCTCCAGTTCAGTGGACAGACATCGCAGGGCAAGTCTCTGTCAAAGCTGCCATCGAGGAAGAGCTGGTGTGGCCCATCTTGAGGCCAGGGGCTTACACGGGGGCAAGCCGGCCACCCAAAACCATCCTTCTCTTTGGACCTCGCGGTGTCGGGAAGACCCTGTTGAGCAGGTGCGTTTGCACCCAGCTGGGGTCCACCCTGATGAAGCTCAGCGGGACAGCCTTGGTCTCCAAGTGGAAGGCAGAAGCCGAGAAGATCCTGCAGGCCACCTTCTTCGTGTCCAGCTGCCGGCAGCCGGCGGTCGTTCTCCTCACCGACGTGGAATCCCTCCTGGAAGACGCCGCTGTCCTGAAGTCCCAGCTCCTTTCCTACCTGGATAACCTTGCTACCTCAGGCGAGCAGAACGTCGTGGTCATAGCAACCACCACCAGGCCTGGCAACCTGGACGAAGCCACCCAGAGGAGGTTTGCCAAGCGCTTCTACATCTCCCCGCCAGACAGCGTTGCCCGGCGGCAGATCCTGCACCATGCTTTAGCCCAGCAAAACTACTGCCTCAGCGAGAGGGAGATGGCCTCCATTGTCCAACTCACGGAGAGCTATTCCGGCAGCGAGCTCCTCCACCTCTGCCAGCAGGTTGCGTCCAGCAAGCTGCAGAGCTTGCCGGGGCAGCTTCAGCCCACCTCCTACAAGGATTTCGAAAGCGTTTTCTGCAAAATCCACCCTGCCGTCTCTCAGAAGGAGCTGGACTTGTACGTGGAGTGGGATAAAATGTATGGGTCGCAGCACTAGCGGAGAGTGACCGGCTTTTTCTTTTTCGATGGTCTCGGGTCTCTCTGAGTGGAAGCTGTTGGGAGATTCAATTTGTTTCTCTTTCTTTTGCTGTTAAAAGCTTTGTCGCTCTGCCTGCCTGCCTATGAAAGGCAGGCGATGGGTGAGGAGTCGTCTGTTAGAAAGTCACACCTAATTTTGGATGCAAGGACTTCCCCTAGATTGATTTGCGTACATCCCCCCCCCCTTAAAAAATGTCTGAAATTTTGACTGTGTGGTGGTTGTTGGGTCTCTATGTTTATGAAAAGTAGTTGCTGAATGAACTCAGGATAACCTATTTATTATTAATCTGTTCCCCCAGTCATCCCTTTCTGTACCAGCATTGTAAAGTATTCGGCCAGGTATTGTCCCCTTCCCAACTCTTTTTAACACTGTACCTCCTGGTTATTTCTGTAGAGTTCTTAACTTCCATGGAAATGGCACGATGCTGTCATTCACTGCTTTATACGCTGATACAGACTCATTTCCAGGGGCATAATTTAGCCCTTGATGTTCTTTAAAGCCATCAAGAGCATCGTTGTTAAAGCAGATGGCATCAATGGGTTTTAAGGGAAGGCTTTTGGGATTTTATTTTATTTTTAAATGTAGATTGTTTATTAAACTAGCATCCTTTTTATTTTTGTAATGTATGTAGTGGGTTCTCTTTTTCTTTTTAACTACTCAGGAAAAATAATTTACCTCAAAACAAGAAGAAGAAAAAAAAGAATGTTTTTTTGTTGTTTTTTTAAACTCAAGGAAAATAAAATATGACCTGGAGGGATTTCAAATGTGTTTTAACACACACTTGATTCCCGTTTTAAAAGCAAAAGGTAAGGAGAGGGGGAAAAAAGAACAAGAATAAACTTGAAGTCGTTACAAAGATGAAAGCTGAATGTATTTCAGGGGCGTTTCACAATATATTATGTCATAACTTTATTTTTATTTTTTAAAGAAAACATTTTTACCATAGCGTTTTGGTGGAGTAAATGTCTTCAAAGAATAAGTATTAGTGCTGTAGTTTTGAAGCCATGGCTAGTACCACTTTTTGAAGGAATGTTTCTATTCATTTCCAAATTCCAGGTTGCCAATCATTTTTCCCTTTGGTTGTGGCCTCTGATAGGACCTCTCAAGCTTTGTCACAGCAAGAAAAAAAGCCCCCAGACCACTAGTTCTCAAACTTCCCCAAGTATAATTTATGGGGAAGCAAATAAAACAGGTGCAATTGCATTATTACAATTACATTTTTAAAGTCTGTGTGTATGTGAAGAGAGGAAAGCAAACGTACATTTCAGCATTCGATGTAGGGCTTCCCAGACTTGGGTCTCCAGCTGTTTTGGACAATAATTCCCTTTGTCCCTGATCATTGGTCTTGCCAGCTAGGGATGATGGGAGTTGTAGTCCCAAGTCTGGGAAACACTGATTTTTAATGGATGAGCCTAAAGACATTCATCTCATGGAGCTTAGTTTGCCCTGTGAAGGCGCCGCTCAGCCTTGACTGCCTGTAATACACAGCAGAATACACTTTTGTTCACCTGTGGACGCATTGTCCTCATTTACTTTGTCATAGCCTACAATAGGTTGCCATCTTGGTGTGTTCAAAGGGAGCTTCACCAGTTGCAACATGTGAACTGGCAGTCTAGGCTTTAACATTCACTGTGTGTGTGTGTGTGTGTGTGTGTGTTAAACTCAAGGTGCATCCATTCATAAATTACTTCATAAAGGTGCAACCATTAATAAATTACTTCATATGGATATTGAGAGGGCTTTAGGCCCAACCTAGCACCCCAAATTCAGTACTAACCAATGGTTATAACTAACGTCCCATTTGCTTTCTGAAAACATGTCTTTATCAAGTCACTCTTGGTCTTCTGCATTCTTCTCTGTTTCTGTTCTCCATCCTTTCTCCCGCCTCCTATTTGCCTGCTTCCCTTAGAAACCAACTGTTGACCCCATTTTAAGTGTCCATAGTTCACAGGTTTAGGCTTTGACCCGAAAGATACAGTCCTATGCATGGTGTGGATTTATTTCAGAGTCCAAAAACTCTGAAATATACCAGAAAATATACCAGAAAAGGAAGTATACCAGAGTATACTCACTTCCTTTTAAAGGCCAATAATAATAATAATTGTATGTGGTTTCCCTTTTAAGGATTTCTCACTTGAATATATTACAAGTGTGTAAGGAAAGTCTGCAAGCTGTTTTCGGGATAAGCTGGTGAAATATTAAGTTGAATGGTATGTCCATAATTTTTGCAGAGTAAGCTTGAGGGAGGGAAGAAAGAAAGAAAGAAAGAAAGAAAGAAAGAAAGAAAGAAAGAAGGAAGGAAGGAAGGAAGGAAGGAGATGTCTGCCTTTTCCTGCATATTTGCATCTCTGAACAATTTTAGACTTCCCAGTGGGGCTTTTTCAGATTCCTAAAAGACCTATCTCTTCATTCTCCTACTGAGCAGAACCAGCAGTGGAACATTGACCCAGACATAAAAGGGAGGCTACCAATGAACACATTTTGAAGGCACAGGTTGATACCCTATTCAACTGAGGCTAGCATAACAGTTACCGTATTTTTTTGCTCTATAAGATTCACTTTTACCCTCCTAAAAAGTAAGGGGAAGTGTGTGTGCGTCTTATGGAGCGAATGCAGGCTGCGCAGCTATCCCAGAAGCCAGAACAGCAAGAGGGATCGCTGCTTTCACTGCGCAGCGATCCCTCTTGCTGTTCTGGCTTCTGAGATTCAGAATATTTTTTTTCTTGTTTTCCTCCTCCAAAAACTAGGTGCGTCTTGTGGTCTGGTGCGTCATATAGAGCGAAAAATACAGTAAATAGTTCCTCTCCTCCTGATATTCTGGAAGGCTTTACAGATCATCTTGGAAGAACCATGGTCTTTGGCCTGTGAGATGGACCTGGTCAAATTTCTCATCCAAACCCAAAGATTGACTCCCTAGAATTTGTTTGCAGGGATATTTTGCTTCCTGGTAGTTGTTCGCTGACACTCTGTAACAGGGGTTATCCATAAACGCAGAAGATAACAAAGCTCAGCTAGCCTAAATACGTGGGGAAATACCTCAGTGCTGTTGACTTGAGAACCTGTATGTCTTGTTCTAGATTCTGCAAAGCAGGCCTTTCTTCATTGCATCTTCCAGGCCAAGTTGTCTTTCTTTCTCTCCTGCATTCTGTAAGCTGATTTACATTACTACATAGTAGTAAATGGCTTCCTGAAAATCTTCCAAAAAAATAGCGCAGGGCTTTTTCCCCCCAGCCAGAGCTCAGGTGGATGCCATTGCCATTCTAAGAGAACAAGGGAGAAGTTCATGGTGAGGTCCAGCACCTCTTTTTCTAGAAAAATAGGACTGGCAATGTGAATGTGGTCAGTGAGAGCACCTGTGATATTTAATAATGATGGGATGAAGCTGCAGAGTGGAGTGGCAGTTTTACCTGAAAAGTTGTAAACTGACAACTACTTCTGATTTGAGGGTGAAGAGCTCTCCTTTAAGTCTCAGATAAGCCAAAGCACTTAACACCATAAAGAGAGAATGGAACCAGGAGACTTGGGTTCAACACCAAGCTTAGCCATGGCCTACTCTACTTACCTGTTTCATATGAAATGAAATAAAATAAAAAAATAAAACAAAATGCTTTGTGAGCATCTAGCATTGTTAGGCACTTTACATTAAAAGTGCTATATGTTTGTTAATGTAAAAGATACCAGCCAATTGTCCTCTTCAGACATTTTTCACTAAACAACCAATTCAGTAAGAGAACTTTCTTTATAAGTTCATTTCAAGAGCTGTTTCCATACTCTCCAATATTTCTCCAATGAAAATAGGGACATCCTATTCCATGATAGTGAATAACAACAACAACAACAACAACAACAACAACAACAACAACAACAACAACAACGTTGTTGTTGTTTAGTCGTGTCTGACTCTTCGTGACCTCCTGGACCAGAGCACGCCAGGCACTCCTGTCTTCCACTGCCTCCCACAGTTTGGTCAAACTCATGCTGGTATCTTCGAGAACACTATCCAATCATCTCATCCTCTATTGTCCCCTTCTCCTTGTGCCCTCCATCTTTCTCAACATCAGGGTCTTTTCCAGGGAGTCTTCTCTTCTCATGAGGTGGCCAAAGTATTGGAGCCTCAGCTTCAGGATCTGTCCTTCCAGTGAGCACTCAGGGCTGATTTCCTTCAGAATGGAGAGGTTTGATCTTCTTGCAGTCCATGGGACTCTCAAGAGTCTCCTCCAGCACCATAATTCAAAAGCATCAATTCTTCGGCGATCAGCCTTCTTTATGGTCCAGCTCTCACTTCCATACATCACTGCTGGGAAAACCATAGCTTTAACTATACGGACCTTTGGGATGTATGGCAACCCTAATAATAAGGCTGTTAAAAGTGAAACCCACTCTGTAGTTTTAAGTTACTTACACTCTCTTTTTTCAAAAAATGAACTAGTTTTTAACAGATTTTAAACTGAACTGAAGGCTGAAACTTACAGCCGTGGCCTTCCCTTGTTCTTTAGCATGTATGCTATTCTTTTTTATTATTATTCAAAAGCCCCCAACCCTTTTAACCTATAAAACAGAACTTGTTGTAAAAGCTGTGTCTACCTTTTGGATTCTCACTAACTAGATCTGTATTACTTGGAACTATGTATTTACAGTTTTCTTTCTGCATCTTTCTCTCTCTCTCTTTCACCCCACATCCAAAATTGGGATTCAACCTAGGTTTCTGGTTTAGTGTGGCCCCCTCAAGATTTACCCGCTAAGGTAGAGGTAGCTCCCATGCTTTGATAGAGTTGAAAACTTGTTGTTTAGTCGTTTAGTTGTGTCCGACTCTTCGTGACCCCATGGACCAGAGCACGCCAGGCACTCCTGTCTTCCACTGCCTCCCGCAGTTTGGTCAAACTCATGCTGGTAGCTTTGAGAACACTATCCAACCATCTTGTCCTCTGTCGTCCCCTTCTCCTTGTGCCCTCCATCTTTCCCAACATCAGGGTCTTTTCCAGGGAGTCTTCTCTTCTCATGAGGTGGCCAAAGTATTGGATCTGCCCTTCCAGTGAGCACTCAGGGCTGATTTCCTTCAGAATGGATAGGTTTGATCTTCTTGCAGTCCATGGGACTCTCAAGAGTCTCCTCCAGCACCAGAGTCCAAAAGCATCAATTCTTCTGCGATCAGCCTTCTTTGTTGAAAACTAGGTTTCTGCAAACTAGGTATCGGCTCTTAGAGTTAACGTCTGAGCTCTTACATTTTTGCAGGATTCAGCTCCTAGCACATAGTGCCCCTAATGCTGCCCCTTTTTGCAGTTTAAGCTTTATTAATTAGGTTGGTATTTAGCTTTCTAGACACCCAGCTGTTTACCTCGATGCTTTGTCACAGAGGCGAAGATGCTTCATCATCTGGGAATCCTCTCTTGCCTGTGGAACGGTAAGAACACCCAGTTTGCTAAGCTTTATCTTTCTCCCCATTAGTGGTAAAGCAGCCCAGGGTGCAGGGTTTGATTTCTAGGCAAATAGCAAGGAGGGGAAGGGTGAAGTACCTAAGTACCTTGTCTTCTGCTCCTCGTTTCAGCCTCCTCACAGCTGCTTTCCATGAAAACGCTGAACTGCCCATCACCTGCAGGTTGGTCCTTGTGGCTTACACACCTAAAAATGCAAATGTGTGAAGCCACCCACCAATACCGAACCAACATTAACATGCCGGCTGATCTCTCACTTAGAAGTCACTGGAGAGAACGCAGGTGGCTCTTTGTGGTGTGACAATCAAGACCACAGCATCCTCTCTGCCCAGATTTCATATTGGCAGCGGGGTTTGACCGGTTTTGATGCAACGGCTGCACTGTTGAGCATCTTCTCTAAAAGCCAAGAAACAAATATATGCCCCCCTCAGTGTCAAAACTGCAACTTAAGTGAGTGCTGGGAAGCCTTTGGTCCCCCTACACTCTCTCAGCAAGGCAATTGCATCTGATAGCACTTTATTTTGGTTTTAATTAACTAGGGCTGTTACTCTTCCGGTGACACAGTTATGAGCGCTGTGGTTGCAGTGGTTTTCTTCTTGCATATATAGTAGTGGTACCTTGGTTCTCGAACGGCTTAGTTGTCAAACAAATGGGCTCCCAAATGCCACAAACCTGGAAGTAAGTGTTCCGGTTTGCGAAGGTTTTTCGGAAGCCGAACGTCCGACGCGGTTTCCGCTTGAGTGCAAGGAAGCAGCCAATTGGAAGCCACATCTTGGTTTTCAAATGGTTTGGGGAGTTGAACAGACTCCAAGAACGGATTAAGTTCAAGAACCAAGGTGCAGTGGTACCTTGGGTTACAGACGCTTCAGGTTACAGACTCTGCTAACCCAGATGTAGTAGCTCTGGTTAAGAACTTTGCTTCAGGATGAGAACAGAAATCGCGGGCCGTGGCGCGGTGGCAGTGGGAGGCCCCATTAGTTAAAGTGGTACCTCAGGTTAAGAACAGTTTCAGGTTAAGAATGGACCTCCAGAACAAATTAAGTGCTTAACCCAAGGTACCACTGTATCTATTCTTGCCAGTGTTATTTCCATGGGAAGAGATGGTCCCTGTTCTATAAGGGCTCACATTTCCTTTCCTTTACATTTGCTTCAACTCTTTGATTGACACCTCCAGAGGGTAGCAAGGTTTGGCGTTTACCAGGGCCCCAAGACCAGGAGTGCCCACTGCTCTAACCATACTACCATTTCCACTTGGAATTGTAGAGTTGGAGGGTACCCCAAAGCCCATCTAGTCCAACCCCCTGCAATGCAGGAATCTTAGCTAAAGCATCCATGACAGATGGCCAGCCAACCTCTGCTTAAAAGCCTCCAAGGAAGGAGAGTCGGACACTGTTCCACTGTCAAACAGCTCTTACTGTCACAAAGTTTTAGTCGGAATCCCCTTTCTTGTAACTTGAAGCCATTGGTTCGAATTCTACCCTCCAGAGCAGGAGACAACAAACTTATTCACTCATCCATGAGACAGCCCTTCAGATATTTGAAGATGGCTCTCATATCTCCGCTCAGTCTCCTCTTTTCCAGGCTGAACATACCCAACTACTTCAACCATTCATCACCAGGCTTAGTTACCAGACTCCTGATCATCTTGGTTGCCCTCCTCTGCACATTCCAGCTTGTCAACATCCTTCTTAAATTGTGGTACCCAGAATTGGACACAGTATTCCCGGTGTCGTCTTGGCTCCTCCGAGCTTCTATTTGCCCCGTAGGGCAAAACCTAAAGGCACACAAGCAAATCTCTCTTCCTCTCCACCCCTCTTTTCCTCTTAGCCATATTGGCAATAAACAGTAATATTCTGGAG